TAAATTTTGTCCCCTGCAGATGCCTGTGGCCTGTGCCGACTGTTCTCAGTTCACAAAGATGACAGCTCAAGATAACTCACCAGGAGAATACAGGGCCTCTCAAGCTCTAATTTCACTTCTGATTTGGGATGGGGACTGGATTTCAATAACTTTACTTGTCTATGCTTTGGCTCGTCTGTCTGGGAAATATGTTTGATGCTGTGTGATGCTGCTTACCTTGGAGAAGGTTGTGAAGATGAAAGTGATAGTGCAGTGGGGTACAACATAGGGACACATTTTGCATAACGAGGGGGAAATGTGCTTATTCAAGCCAAGATACTAGGAACATGAATAGGAGGGAATATGCTAGCTGAAGTTTACTGTAAAAATATTGAAGAAAAACCTTTTTAAAGTAAAAACTGAAGGAGAAAATATCTGTTTAGTGCATTTTTCCATCAGAAAGTCAGTGGATATAACCACTGAATCTGCCAGAAGATACAGGCCTGGAGAAGCTCAGCTGAGTTCTGAGGGCTAACGGGCGGGGAGGAAGAAAGGACTGTCCTCCCACAGCGGCCAATGAGCATAGATTAGGTTCCCATGGCATACTAATTTCTCTTAGCTGTTGGCAACATTAAATGGAATCAGTAGAAGTTATTTTTTAAAATGAATTTGACCATCTTAATGGTCAAACGGGCTGTGTAGTTAGATCCAGAAATTGTATTGCATCAGTGCCTCGCTGGGAACTGAAGGAGCGGTGGTGGGAAAGAACTCTGTATGGTTTACAGACACACTAGCCCACAGAAATGAGAAAAGACACACTTACTTGGTGTAACAATCACTTGAGTGCCGGACCCGAACTGCAGACTACCCCCATAGCCTGTCAGTGCACAATGGTAGACTCTTCTACAGAAACCCTGCCACCTCTTCATGGCCACACGAACTCGAGTCCCCAGATGGAAGCTACAGTTTCCCAGGTAGGAGAGGCTTCGGGCATATGTATCGTGAAAGCCATGGTGTTCCTTATCCTCTGGCAGACCTTCCTTGGAGGTTCTTTCTCACTCTGGACCCAGCTCCTGCCTCCACATAGGCACTTGGTAGCCCATGGCAGCCACTGCCACCTCTGTTGGGGCTCTGCTGGGGGTCCATCCCCAGAAAAGTTCTCCTCTGGTGCTTGGGGTTCACTCAAGGAGCTAAGAAACTCCTCAGAAATACAACTGGCCAGGCTAGAGAGGCAGGTGGCGGCATGTGCTGGGGTTGGCACTGGTGGGCATGGTTGTCAGGAGTCAAAGGAGAGGGAAAGGAGTTAGATAGAAAAGTTAGAGATGGAAGGCTAGACCTGGAGTGGGAGGTCTGAGAACCAAAGTAAGGAGCGTAGACAAACACAGCTGATGTCAAAATTGGTCACGCTTTGCTTTGTGAGAACACATGAGTTCTAGGGGAAAGAAATGTTCCTGGCTCTGTCATTTGCCCTGACCTGTTTAGTACTGCTTTACCTCCTGAACCAAATTCTCACGTGCAGCTGAGAAGGCCAGCACTACATATGGACACCACCTCCCTGTCTTATTTCTGCCTTGAAGACTCATCTGATGAAATGTTCCACACCAGGGGCAGGAACAGCAGCCACAAAAAGATACTCAGAATCTGTTTCCCTCTTCTTAATTAGGCTGTCAATCTGTTGAGATAATAAGTCCTCCGAAGTGTCTTAATCTCTCCCAAGGAAAGGAGTCATATAAATGCAAAACAGCAGCCGCTATAAGTCAAATGGCTTGCTGGATCTCTTTCCTTTGTGTGAAGAGATGTTGAATTGAAGGAAAACTTTCTGTGTGGGGAGGAGACAGACTGGAAAAGCACAGCAGCATTTGTTTTCATTAGGCTGAGTCTATACAGCACAAAGTAAAACAGATCTGGCAATTATTTAGGTAATTCGACAGTCAGTTCAGCAACTTAGAGCACAAAGGAGGTTTTTCAAGGAAGTGCCTGAGGTTTAGGACCAGCTCCTGACATTAATCAAATTAACCAGGCGATTGTGCCATGTAAACACAAACTAATAAATGCGCCTGATATGGGTTCTTCTGAAAGGGTTACGTTTTATAAACTTAACGTTAAAACTGGCCCGATATTTATACCCTCTCTCTTCACTTTGGCACCGCAATTGACATTCCCCATTTCTCTTACTACACGGTCTTACATTTAAAGCCAGGAAGGCAGGAGTGACCTTCTCCCTGGAGAGTCTTATCAGGTTAACACATGCAAGCTCATTTAGAAATTCTTATTAGCTGTCTGGGGTGTGTGAGCTGGCTATTATAGATTAAGGGCCTTTTTTCTCAAGTGGCAAAGGACTTACAGGGAATAACGGTGAGTCTTGTTCCAGCCCCAAAGACAAGCTTGTCTGCTCCAGAAGTTGGCACAGTGTTTCTGCCCGGTACAAAAACACTCTGCTCTGCTGAATTTTCTTCCTCTATAGCGCTCACTAGGGGTATGCTATACACATCCTCTAAAAATGCTGTCTTCCATGTTTCTTAGCAAAAAAAAAACCCCAAATCACTAACAGTCTGTTCTCTCCTTCCCATTTTTCTTTCCCAAACAAAAGCTTTCCATGTTCACGCTTGAAAGGCAGTTCATAAAGAATTCTAGTAGCTCCAGGGGTGGTTTCCACTCTAGTCTCCTGTTGTGTAAAATCGTGTTTATTTTTGTGAACTTCTCACATTTGAAGTTTTTATTTCTCCCAAGTCAGCCAAACTGATATTCTCTCAGTCTTAGCCTAGAACTTCCATACCCACTTCATTTTAAATCTTGCCCCTCTTTTTGCCACTAGCGGCAACCAAATGGGTTAGAAAAGACACATTCTACTAGCTTTTATAAAAGGAAAATAAAACTTAAAAATAAGTCTTTGCTTAGAAGTTAAAAAGGCAGAAATTTACAAACAACAACATACAAACAAACAAAGAAACAAACAAAAAAACACCTTAGATGGCAATTGTGGCTCCGTCAGGAACATTCAAACCCACCTGGTTTTACTTGTAACGTTGTCCCCTGCCCGAAGGTGACCTTTCCCCCAGTGCCAGAGCCACACTCTAATGATGCACTTTACAAAAACTTCAAAAGGAGATCATTTCCATCACCTTCCCTTCAGCAATCTACTAATAACCAATAGTTACGGAAGGCTTACTATGTGCCGGCCACTATACAAAGCCCTTTATAGGTGTAAATCCTATTAATCTCACCACAGTTCAGTGAGCAAATGAAGTAAAACAAGGCTTGGAGAGGTTAAGTAGCCTGCTCCATGCCACACATCCAGTAAGGAGCAGAGTTAGATATGCCCAGGCAGTAGATTTCAAAATCTGTGTCCTTAACCATTATGTTATAACTCCCCTTAGGCTTCCTTTCTCTATGTTGGGTTCTCCTTTAAAGTGTGTATGCCAGTAACGGTGGCAAAATAGTTCGCTGACCCTAATAAATGCATCCTAAGCTGATTCTCCTTTAAAGGCTTACATTTCATAAACTGAACATTAAAACTGGTTTAATATTTTACACCCACTCTCACCATTTTGGCATTGCAGTTGACATTTCCCACTTTTTCTTGCAACACATGTCTTACATTGAGAGCTGCAAAGGTAAGGGCGACCTTCTCCCTGGAGAGGCTTATCAGATTAACATGTGGGAGCTCATTTAGAAATTCATTAATGCCTACATCAGAGATGTCTTTCACTTCCCCTTCTTCTCGCCGAGCTTCACCAGCCTACAGCCCCAGAGCATTCCCAGCCAAAGCCACTGCGCGCACTGCTGGGAACACAGTCTGGTTGCACAGAGCAGTTTTGAATATCTAAGATGCTTCTGAAGTTTCTTGGAGAGAACTCAGGGGAGACCAGAATTAGGATGAAACGCACTCCTTTCCTGTTCCTTCTCAAAAGTCCACCATAGGCTGTGAGCCAACGAGGACTGAGATATGCAGGAATTGCATGATAAGTTTGGGTCCTTCTGGATAATCCATGCTGGGGAGATGTTCTCTTGGGAAGTCACTAGGATGCTTCTAAGTCCTGGGAGTTCCCAGCATTACTAGGGGCCCATGGCGAGGTTGGAGCATATGGAAGGACTAAGAAAGCCATAATACATGATGTGTATTCTTACCTTCTCTAACTTCCAGTGCTCCCTGATGGTCACTTTTCGAATGGGCCAGCCTGTTTGCCCTGTGAGAAAACAGTCTCATACTGCAACTGTCTTCCTACCATGCACTGTGGACCAACTCCATCTAGTTATTTTGACTGAAGGATGAGCAAGGGCTCAGCTTGAGTGGACAGGAGAAAAATACTACCCATAATTGCACATTTTAAAACATTTGGGCTTCAAAAGGAGACAGTTTCTAAGATATTTCAAACTGTATAGACATATTTCAGAATTAATTTGAAGACTCACTTGGTTTTACTGCCAGACTTGTCCCCGTTCCCCAAATCAGCTTACGGCTGTTGCCAATGTTACACAGTCACAGAAAGCTTTACTGAAACCGACCAGGCCAATGTCTACCAGGAAATCCCTTTCAATCCCCAAATCCAGTGGCATGCTCCTCCAGCTGGGCCCCTGGCCAAAGTGGCATCGTGGTCCATTCATAGCATGGTTGGGAAGAAAATGCTCTTCTGAGGTTAAATAATTCATCATTCCACCTCCAGACCGAGCTGCCCCTGACCAGGCCAGCAAGGAGTGGCTCAATCCTGTCAAAGCCCCTGAAGGTGGGTTCTCCCACTCCCCATGTTCAACACAACTAGACTTTCTGACCCTAATGGTTAAGACAAAAAGGACAAGAAATCTGTCTTTCTCCAATTCATTTGTTCCTGCGCCAATTATATATGTGCCCATTTCCACATGCACATATGGCATGTATAACAACGTATGATCATTAGGATGAATGATTAGAATGAACAAAAAAATAAAACTGGGTGGAGAAAACAGCCCCCCACATGAAACTCAGTGCTATGGCTGCCTTTAGAAATGAGAGCATTCATTATGGATTCAGCAGAGATACTCACGGGGTTTGACCATTAACCTTGTTCCCCCTCCAAATGTAAGCTTGGTGCCTGCATTATTATTCACACAGTGATCTTCAGCTCAGCAAAAACCTTCTAGAAACCGAACTAAGTTTTCCCTAAAGATCTTCTGGAAGGAGTGATACAGTGAGCACAGACAATATTACATAATTGACACAGTAATAACCTGGCACAGAATGCTAGCACCAGTTTGGATTTCAGGACTGTTTCAACATTGGAGAAATGAAGGATATTCTTTCTGAATATTCTAAAGAAGGAGTTTTCTGCACGAGCCCAGAATGCTGGCTGCCAAAATCCTAGCACATCCTCTGGTTTTATATACTAATTCTCCAGGGGTTCTAAAGGTTATATACCTTATTTGGACAAAGTAGGATTAGCTCATGTCCATGGCACCAAAGCCAAAACAGCCAGAGGCACTGTCATCACAGAGAGAGAGACTGAGGGCGCTGCCCCTGCCCACCTGGCAGGAGGGGGTCAGAACGTTAGTTTGCTCATTGAGGGTGCTGGAACCAGATACCTCTGACTAAAGTTCAGATTCTGGAACATCTAAAAGGAGTCCCACCTTTTTAGACTCACTCCATAGAACTCGAGGTAGTTGCAGGTACTGGTCAGCTCTGGATTAGCTCCTGACTCCAAATCCAGATTTTTTCATCCCCTGCTTAGACAGTCACCAGGAAAAAGACTTTAATCATTTTCTACCTTTTAGAGTCCTAGTAGAGACTTTTCATTCTCACTGTCCCATTGTCCTGGGAGATAACACAACTCATGGACTAACCGGAAATCATTCCCTCACAGGTAGCTTCTCCTATCCTGGCTAGGGGATCTTTTGAAGTCTCTCTCAATTTTGAGGTAACTTGAAGAAAAATCTGAGGAGGACACACCCTGGGCACCATTGCTGAGTGTACAGCATGGTGTCCTCCCTCTCCCTCCTTCCCCCAACACCCTCCTCTGACTGCCTGGAGGACAAGGAGCTTAAGAACAGCAATTAGGAATGGAGCCTCCAGGGGGAAAGCAAGGGACATGCAGGCAATACGGCAGCTCATAAATGTCCTTCTTGGATTTAGTCAGTGTTGTTCCTCTCCCAGAGATTATCTTCCCATGGGCAGATCCCTCCTTTTTACTTTGCTATTTGTCTCTTAGCCAAGCCTTATTAATTTTCAAAAAGGCATATAATGTCTCAAATTCTCTCTGTGAAATTAAGTCTAGTAACACCTGCGCTTGGTCTCCTGACTAGGAAAACATTTGTTTCACATACGCAAATCTGTTTTCAGTGGTGTGTCCACGGTGTCTGGTTTGTGGAAACAAGGTGTAGGAGTGGGCATGGGTAAGCATTCAGGGGAAGTATGTGCCCAATTTGCCCGGGGCAGAGCATTTGTGGAAAGGAATAGCTAAAAATAAATTTGGAGAACAGAAAGCGTCCAGATTTTAAAGTGATAATGGTTTTTCAAAATATAAATGCCAGGTGAAATTGGATAGGAGAGAGGCGTAAAAAGGGGTAAGAAAGGGAGTGAAAAATGTGGAATGATAATACAGTTTTAGAGTAATAAAGAATATAGAATTCTTATATTTATAAGTCTCTCAAGGTTTCCAGCTAATAAATATTTTTGCAATGGTAAGACAATTCTTATGAAATTGATGGTAAGCCATCCTCAGAGCTCTCCTTCACACGTCCTGTCCAGAGTACAGGGGCCCAAAATTGCCACTTCAGACTAGCAGTCATTTTTGCTTCCATAGGTAGTTCCCTTACTTTACCTTTCCTTGGCCTCAAACACCAACAACTTTAAAAATGAAGTCCATCTTGCCTGTAATACTCACTTGTTAGAACCTGAAGCCTGGTTCCTGCTCCAAAGACATATTTGTAGTTTCCTGAGGTAGACACAGTGTCATGTGGCTCTACATAAACCAACATCAGGTTGCCATTTGTTGGAATAGCTTTGCTGTTGATTACTAGGACATCATATGCACTTTTCCTGTTGGAAGGTCTTTATCTCATGTTTTTCGTAAAGAAATTTATTTGGTATAATATCTCAACTCTTATAGAAAGTGTCTACTACTTTGATTAGGTCTGAGTTTGCCAAACTTCCTCAGTCTCATGCTATGCTCATCTTAAGTGTGTTTAAGTGGCTTTTTTTGGACAAACATATCAGGATTTGAACATCTAACTGATTGGTATTGAATCTTTGAAGTACTCCCTTTAGGACTCTTTATGAGAATCACTTTATGAGCCACACAAACACACCAAGGATATTATTTTATAGTCATACCTCATTTTGGAACCAAAATACTACCAGTAACTAGCTTGAGTTCCTCATTTATTTATAAGTCATGGCCCTGAAAGGTTTTTGGTTATTAACAAAGATAAAATCTGACTTCAAAAGATTAAGGCATTATGGAAGCTACAAACAGGGCAGAATCAAAGAGGAGATGAGCAATGGACAATAGTTTGGACTAACACAAGATACTTCAAATTGGGCCACTAACTTAATTGTATAAACTCTATTTGTTAACAGATCAGCCCATGATCTTATTGTCACACCTGGTTCATGCACAGAGGACTGTTGATGAAATACTATGGAAATGTGAGATGGCAGGTGTTTCTGCAAATACTGTGCCTGCATGGGAAGCACCCCAGTTCCTATAATTCTAACAGAAAAAAAAAAAAAGCAAAAACAAACACTGAACTCTGCAAGTGTAGAGAGAGCCTGTAAATTCTCAGTATTGCCTCCTATAATTCAGCTCTATTATCCTCTCCCTGACAGCTTCACAACTCGGGTAACGCATTCTGCTTTAGCACAGATAACTCAGTGGAGGTGGGGGGCCTTCCAAGGTACTGGTATTCTCTGTTCCTTCGTTAAGGTCCACTCAGCAAGCCAAGGGAAAGGGGTGAAGTCTGCATGGGGAACTACTTTGTCCCTGGATTGAAGAATGGGGCTGTCTCCTCTCCAGAGAAAGTTTCATTGTTCTTCTGTTCTCTCAGAAGAGGAAAGCCATGAGAAGTTTTTAGCTCCTGCTGCCCTCCCCTCACCCGAGTCCTCAGTCCACTTGCTGGGGTTTTTCAGTTCTATCAGATGACCTGGGCATAAGCTCAACTGGATCCTCATCACGTATCTGTTAAAGACACGCTCCCTTGGCTACACACTGCTGCTTCGGTAGCATCCCTTCTCATTGATTTGTTTCTGTCCCTATCGTAAAGCTTTTCTTCTCCTTATCTCTGTCTCTTTCCCAAAGCCTCAATGTGCTTTGTGGTCCTTCGAGAAACACTGATTGTAGTATTAATACAATTTATCAAACTACCCTTAAACCTGATAACCAAATCCAGACTCTAGGGAAACAGGTGTTCATATCTTGCTCACACATCCGACATAGTTAACAACTACATACTAAATTAATCAATTAAATTCAGCTGTGTTTCAACGAGTCCTACTGGATTTCTTTCCAAAAAGAATAATTTGTGAACCACAAGAACTCACCGGGTGTGACCAACAGGGAGGTGCCTTTGCCAAAGCTGAGTGCATACCCGGTATTTGAGTTCCACAGCACTTTTTCCCTAAACAAAAACCAATTGCAGTAGCCACTCTGTCTCTCCTCCTTGGGTGAGCCTCTATGAAATCTAGTGCACAGCAGTCACACAGACCTAGGTCATCTAGGGCCCTCTTCCATGAGACCATTGCTGAGAAGGTCACCTACTCACTATGGTGGTGGGCAATCACTCCTGAGAAGTGCCATCCTGGGGAGGGGACCTTGTTATATGTTGAGCTTCCCTATGTCCAGCAGAGGGAAGTGCTCGTCTGGACTGAGGACAGCCAGGGGCATGACCAAGAGCAATTCTGTGGGCTCATGGATGAAGGGCAGAAAGATACCACGAAGAAAGTGGTTGGTAAATTTCTTCGCATTCACTCTGGTTTGTACTTTAATTGCATTCATTGATTTAGTCTGTGAGACCCTAGTACTTACTTGGTTTAACGGAGAGTTTAGTGCCTTTTCCAAAGGTGAGCTTTCCTTGGCTGCCTCCATAATTCACACAGTCATATGGAGCCTTACAATAATTAGTGGGTGGGAACCATTGAGGGAGAGACTGAACAAATGAGATCACCTTCCCCTCTTGTGGAAGTCTCACCACCTTGCAGCCTCAGCTCTTGGCTCCTGGCTCGAGTTAGGACATTTCTCAAAATAATAATAGCAGACTGTGCAGATAGAGCTGAGCTTGATCTTAAACCACCAGTTTTGCTCCCAGAACACTGGGTTCTGATGGCTTGCTCATGCGAGACTCATGGGACAACCACAAGGTCAGGCAGAGACATGTCATCCAGCACAGGTGGTCAGCATTAGGGGACCAGGGACCATGCAACTTTCAGAGGCATAGATCTTAACAACAACAACAATACAAATCCAACAACAACAACAACAAAAAAAGAACCCTCAAAACACAACAAAACCACTAATTGTACTCCTCTTGGAGAGAAGGGTTTCTTATTAAAAAACAACAATAACAACAACAACAACAAAAACACCCCACCAACAACCAACCTATAGATTTCTGAGTTCTTTCAGCTCTGTAATATTGCAGAATACAGGTTTTGCATCTTATCATTAGAATTTCTCTCTATCCAGAGCCAATGAAGAAGCCAGTAAAAATTTCTTAGGATTCATGACCTAATTCTTAGGATTGCCAGAGTCTGTCAACTAGCAGACATCCACCAGCCCAGGCACAAACGAACTAGGCACATTTATTCTGGGAGTGGCAGTGTCTTAATCCCACTGAAACTACACAGAATAGCACTGCCGCTTACTCAGGCCAACTTTTGAGATTCGCCCACTCCCCTCACTTACTTGGTTTTACTGTCAGCCTGGTCCCTGCTCCAAAGTGTAGGTTGTTGTTATTATTGCCACAGCAATACAACCTCTAACAAAAACCTCCTCAGGACACCTTGCAGTCTGGCTCCCAGCATGGCACAGAACACAACAGTCCCATTCTCCCTTTACTACAGAAATGGGGTCATTTGTCATGCTTCTAGGCTGTAAAAGTGGTCACTTTCAGCCCACTGAGCACAGCTTATCGAGACCCCAACTGGGCACCGTGAGACATATAATCAGCTC